AGTTTTGATGCAAAAACGCATGATCGCACCGGCTCGCCTGGTGCGTTCCAGCCTTTGTTTTTTAATGTGCACCTGTCCGAACACGTCCAAGAGCCAGGCTCAGAAAATTTCAACACTCTGGCTACATTAATTGCGGGATCACGTTAAACTCACATATCCGCACGTGAGGGAAGACGTGAAAATTTTCTTTTACACACGCCTGCCCGAAGATGGCCCTGGATCATGCTCTGAAAATTTCGACAGCCTAGTTGCCTTGCGGGATTACCTCGAATTCTGTGTCTTCGTAAGTGAAAGAAGACACGAATGTTATTTTTATGCACGACTGTCCAAAGACAGTCGTGTGTCATGCTCAGAAAATTTGGGCGCTTTAGCTACCTTATCCATATGATTACGTCAATTCTCACGTGATCGTACGTGAGGGGAAGAAAGAATGCTGTTTTTACACACACATAGGCAGTTCCTCGGCAGTATGCGTTTTGCATTGTACAGATGCAAAAACGCATAAAAACCAATTTTTCTGCATATATATTTTTTTAAACAGATTTGTCTAAAGTAATTTTCCCACTTTTCCTTCAACTGGCAACAATTTTGGCGGCACTTAAGTCACTGAGAAGTTTCGTTTGCAAAAACTGTCAGTGTGCATAAAAAAATAATGCTCGATTTGCGATTATCTGGCGTACTTACTACTCAGTGCCGAAAATTTGTTCGGTTCGTTCAATCATTTCGATATCGAATCGTTTGCCAAACAGTCAAACCCGTCATCAGCTTGCTTCCAGCTAATCTTCAAAGGGCGGAGCCATCTAAAACTTACCAGCAGGCGGCCATCTCTGGTATTTAATTCCATCCAGGTTTATTTCTCTAGTGTCTTAGCCTTCCACAAACAGTGAATACGATGAAATTTTGATCCTCGCCGCTTGATGTACTTAAATATAGATTTCTTAGTAATACAGTTCTAAAAATTGTATTTCTTTAACGATTCAAACTAGTAAAATAAAATTTCTGATTCACTTTACTGCCCTACAAAGTCATTATTATGACCATGCTAGTTTACGGGGTAAACCAAGCAGGTAATTTAAAAATTATCTACTTTAATTCTTTCGTAAAGCTATTTTTCTTTGGCCGCTATGCAGTGGTTGTTAAATTCTGAACGTATTAAATTTTGCACCCACTAATTCAGTTTTTAGTTCCGCCCTCCCCTCTTTTGCATCTGCCTTTTCCCTTCTCATTTCCCTCAAGCATAGAAGAATCTAGTGGCGTTTCAGTGAAAAAGATTAGACACGTTTCTTCAGTATAAAAAAAATAACGGTGTTGTCTTATGTTCTTATTAGCCTTTGCTGCTCACCGAAAACTTCAGTGTGCACAAATTTCATTAAGTGCTGCATTTCTTGAGGCATGCGGACAAATAAGTTTAGTCAAAGAGTGACCGCTGGCAATAAATTCTCACCGCAGCAGTGTAGTTGCCTTGTATATTCCTATAAACAGTTATCAGCCCAGCCGAAACTTTATCCTCGCTGGCCAGTTCTGCTTCCGCTGCTGCAATAAATCCGTCCAACCCGGTCGTCAGCGGCTCTGTACCCGTTACCGATAAACGATGGCTACTTCTACAACGATCATTAGCTGAGGATTTGACGTACAACAATTTGTATACTCAGTTGACAGTTTTTAAATCCTCATATTCCCAGTGAATGCGAAATTGTTGGGGAGGAATTAAAAATTTAAGTAGTTTGAAATGCGAATTTTGATAAGATCATTAAAAGCTCTACTGGTTACGACAAACTCTCCTTGAGCTGATAAAATGAGAACGCGGAAACATCAAATTCGGATGTTGTCCGCTCACGTTTTTTCAGTTTTTAACGAAATCCACGGAAAACGTGAAAATGAGTGATATCCAGTTTGTTTTGCAAATTCTAAACAAATTGTTGGTACTTGGTGATGCAAACGACCAGCACTTTGCCTTTGACTTAACACAGAGCGTCTTAATCAATGCTCAGTACGACTCCTGGATATGACCCCTAGTTCTGTTTACCGTAATGATTTTTGGTCGATGCTTGATGCTCTGACGAACGCTTCTGCTCCAGGAACAACGTGATGTCTTATCGACGAGGTACGCCTTCTTGATAGTATGCCTTCGTCAATCTGCGATAGATCAGCTCCTTCCTCAATGATACCCTCCAGCCGTTCACTGAAAACAGGCTTGGAATTAAGCATTTTTTCACAAGTTTCCTCGGCCAGGTCGTGATCCAGGCGCTTGAAACGATTTTGCTGGGATTTGTGCTCGTAATCGTAATCAAATGATAAGAAAATGCGCTCCACGCATTGCAGTCATATATAACCACTCAAATTTTTTCGTAGAGAAGGAGTATTGTTCTGGCTGATTAGAAGAAAACCAAAATGGGTTAGAATTCCATTCAACATAAAGAAGATTGAGCTATATTATTCAGATCACAAGCATTGGCTACTCTCACATTCGGATGATCTTGGAATGTCCAGATTCATTAAAGTGAAAGTAAAAATAAAATCTTTTTCTTCTGACTTTATTGCAAAGAAACACAGGTTAACCCAGGCTGGAACGCACCAGGCGAGCCGATGCGATCATGCGTTTTTGCATCAAACTTTGAGGTA